TGACAACCCTATCCCCCTAGAGTCCTACACCATGAGACAAGGGAAGGGGTGGGCGGTCATTTGTCACCCCGGAAAGCCTTGTATTCCTATAAATTAAAACGGTGTGATAATTGACCGTCCCATACCTGCCCCGAAAATCAGACTTGTTAATTCGACCCGCCGCTGACCTCAAGGAGTGTTTTGTAAGAAGGCTAACAAGCGTAAACTTTTGTCTGCCTGAAGTATACATATATACACTGTATATAAATAAGCAAAGTTTACACATATATATATATATGTGTGTGTGTGTCACCACCTGTTCCAAAGGCATTCCGTTCCACTTCCCGTCAGACTTTTTGCAATCTCTTTCATTCTACCGACTCTGGACGTTTCTATGTACAGTGTTAGAGGGCTGCCAAGGTGAAGTCAGCAGGTTGGGAGGAGTTTGAAGGATGTGCACAGCCCTTAAGGTGCACGCGTCACATGAGTAGAGGCAGTCTTGAATAGTGGCTGTGCTCACTTGTGTGGGTGGGTAGAAAACACCTGAAACGCAGGTCACGAGCCCAACACTCACGTCAGGCAAGGCAACGAAAGGTCCTTGCTGGCCACTGTGCGTCGTGGAATGTCCTTGGAGTGGTGTCGAGCACGGGCGTGCCTGCACCTCGGTAAAGCTAGAAGTTGGTTAACGCCAGGTGGAAGGCTGAACTGAGGGGAAGGTTTGCGTAGCCGGCCCACCACCGGGGACTTAGGATGCGGGGCTTTGCATCTGGGGATGGAAAGGAGCTTCCCCACAAAAGAATTTGCAAGTTGCCACAGCCGCGGGGGAGCCACAAAGAAAGAAGCGACCCTGGCAAAGAAAGCGGAACTTCAGTCCAATTTTGACCACGCTGGAATTTTTAAGCTGTCACCTAGCCTATCAGGAGTTGCAAAACATTGTTAAAACACCTTCAAATCTGCGGACCCATCACCTTTCCTTTTGCGTTTTTTTCAGTCAAGGTCTAATGCGTGTAAAGTGGGACTTCGTACTGATCCTAGCTCTTGCGAGCAACAATCTAAGTGTGTTTTCGCCACAGGGTCCCACTGACCCCATCGAGGGGCGCCGCATGTGCACAGACCCAGATCCTGGGGGACCCACTCTGAATGCTTCGTTTGCAATCCTGAACTTCTCTTGATTCCCCTTGATCCGCGGTGCTGCATGATACCACTGATACTACGCCGCAGGGCTTACTGAGATCAACTCCAGTTTGGAATCTCACGCGTGTGCATATGACATTCATTCAGCTAGGTAATCAAGGCCGGGCACATACATGTATAGGTCGATCATGTTCACTACCTTGCTTGGCCTGCCTTTCACCGGGACGCCATGAACTACCAGTGGATCGCTCAGACTTCACCGATGACGAGTATCACGGCACCCTACGGACCTCTTGGCCAGGCTGTACCATTGACGGCTCCTCCGGCTCCTTATGGATCGATGCCAACAATGCCATTTCAAATCCCGCATATGAGCCACTCACCTCTTCAGTACACCTCGACTTTGACGCCTACCAGTTTACCACCTCAGCTGGGATCTATGCCTTCTACCCACCTTGTTCAGCTCCCACCTACGATCCAATCCATTCCCACATCAACTCAGTTGCATCCCTTTCAACAGCCCGACCCCACTCCAACTTTGGGTTTACCAGCCATGCTTATTACACCATCACCCCACTCACCCACCCTATTGAGCGTTCTCAGCCAACACCAGCCCACCATGGGAATGAGCGCCGGTCCCGGCCCACTGTGTGTGTCACCACCTGTTCCAAAGGCATTCCACTTCCCGTCAGACTTTTTGCAATCTCTTTCAGTCTACTGACTCTGGACGGTTCTATGTACAGTTTTAGAGGGCTGCCAAGGTGAAGTCAGCAGGTTGGGAGGAGTTTGAAGGATTTTGAAGGATGTGCACAGCCCTTAAGGTGCACGCGTCACATGAGTAGAGGCAATCTTGAATAGTGGCTGTGCTCACTTGTGTGGGTGGGTAGAGAACACCTGAAACGCAGGTCACGAGCCCAACACTCACGTCAGGCAAGGCAACGAAAGGTCCTTGCTGGCCACTGTGCATCGTGTAATGTCCTTGGAGTGGTGTCGAGCACGGGCGTGCCTGCACCTCGGTAAAGCTAGAAGTTGGTTAACGCCAGGTGGAAGGCTGAACTGAGGGGAAGGTTTGCGTAGCCGGCCCACCACCGGGGACTTAGGATGCGGGGCTTTGCATCCGGGGATGGAAAAAGGAGCTTCCGCACAAAAGAATTTGCAAGTTGCCACAGCCGCGGGGGAGCCACAAAGAAAGAAGCGACCCTGGCAAAGAAAGCGGAACTTCAGTCCAATTTTGACCACGCTGGAATTTAAAGCTGTCACCTAGCCTATATATCAGGAGTTGCAAAACATTGTTAAAACATCTTCAAACCTGCGGACCCATCACCTTTCCTTTTGCGCTTTTTTTCAGTCAAGGCCTAATGTGTGTAAAGTGGGACTTCGTACTGATCCTAGCTCTTGCGAGCAACAGTCTAAGTGTGTGTTTGTGTGTCGAGTCCTGTCTCGAAGGACTCTCGGACACCACGAGTAACTCACTAACTGCCTTTCATCCTAGCTTCTCTTGTAGCTTCTCGTGCTTTCCTTCCTTTCGTTCTCTCTTTCTAGGTCTTGTGTTCGTTTCTATAGGCTTGTTGGGTTGTAGAGCAGGCCTTTTTACACAGTGTGCGCCGATAACAGCTCATTGTGTGTGTAATGTCCTGTCTCTAAGGACCTCGGACACCACTAGAAACTCATTATATAACTACCTTTCATCTTAGCTTCTCTTGTAGCATTTAATTGCAAGTTGTACAGTCTCAGCAGGGGGGCAGTGGACCACTATCACTCGCTGCCCAACGAAGACAGTGATGTAAACAATGCTGTTTTTGCCGACCCTTTCGCCTTTCTGTTCCTCACAGGGCCATTTCTCAGGTATCAGGTCTCAGCGCTCTAGCCCGCCAATGCAGTATATAACCAGACTTAAAGTGCTAGCATCACCAGACAATCACAATTGATTCAGCTCTTGCGAGCATCTATCTAAGTGCGCGCACAAAGCACAGAGGAGGGCCTCTTTTCCGCATGTGCTTTGGCGCGGCAGAATAATGTTTGCAGCACATGACAGATCCGCATCACCGGTCCAGAAGCTTGCAGCCTTGCAGGAAAGAAAAGGCTTCTAAAATGGGTCTCTAGAGTCCTTTCGGCAGTGAGCTGATCAGGTGGCGCAACTTAGAAGGTTTCATCAACGATCTTGTAGCCCAGTTGCCCGCCTTCACTCCCTCAATCAGTCAGAATTCGCCACCCCATTGTGCAAACTAGTGCTTGGTAGATCTTTGTGTGTGTGTGCTGGGTTTCGCCGGGCTCGGATCAAAACACCGCCACTGCCAAATGAACTGCAAACCTGCTACTATTAATGGTTAGACAACCTGATCAGGAATCAGGTCAGTCTTGTCGTACCTACTGTAGCTTTTCTGCCCGGGGTGTGTACACTGTTTGATGCAAATCACCCCATTACACTTCAAGATTACACTTCAAGGCCTGACACATCACCAAATCATCACTTGCCACATCACCACAATTTACTGCAGGATGTCGCAACATCACACACGACAACGCCACATAACAAATCCTCTCGCGATCACCATATCACCAACCATCAAATTAAATTAGCATATTACACATCAAGCAACGTCATCCTATAATATAAGCAAATCATTGGCGGCCCCTGCCGTGACGCAGATTGCCTGGTAAGGCCTAAGAAACTTCCAATGCAACGTCAAGCTGAGCACTGTCAGTCCCAATAGGCATTACCAGCAACTGAAAGCCGTAGGCCGCAGGTAAAAGGTTCTTTCTGCACCGGAGGAGCATCAAAACCCTGTCCTGTATCAATTGAAGAAGGTGACAAATGCAGCAATAGCTTACGGCTGCCTGCCAACTGCGTTTACAAAAAGCAGGAGCGGTTCAAAACGATTGGCAACTCTTGTCGACTCTTGTGGCCAAACAAGATTAGGAAGAACCCATGGAAACAAATCAACAATTGCCTCAAATCGAGAGCGTAGAGCTGGCATTGCTACCGACGCACCTGCTCATGATGATTGTAGTGGCTGGCCATGCTGCACTGCACCATTGACCCACTGCACCACAACCCACGCATTCAACGCGCCTGAAGCTCCAAGCTGGAGAATCACTGACTTGAAGAGAGCATTGGCAAAGCCATACGCCTTGCCACGGATATACAACTCTAAAAAATGCAAACTTGGCAGTCCAAGAGTGCACTGTCCTGTCTATTCAACGCGCTGGCTGCAATTCGCACAGAAGCATCAGCACCGTGAAGAGCAGAACACCCAGCCGGCCTTGCCAACAATCCAACGACTTGAAAGTCATTGGCGACTTGAGTACATACTGTAAGTTTCAGAGTGAGGCTGACATGAAACTGAGAAGTAAGCAGTGGAGGCAGTACATCTGGCAGCTGTGGCGGTTGCTTGGATGCTGGCGTCCTAGACTACACAACAACTTCGACCATGCTCGGCTATGCTCTGAAATTGGCAAAGAAAAATCACCAGCCTCTCAAGTGGTCTGACCGATCCTTGAGTTGAAGAGCCCCACAAGAAATGCGCGGTTCTTTATGCGACAAATTATAAATATAAGATACTATAAGTGCGTGCGTGGGAAAGGAAGCGACGTATGAGCCAGTAAAAACATCAGCACCTTATCATGTCAGTGCACCATGTCCATTGTTCAGCCATGTTCAGCCTACGCACCACCACCTCAAGTTGGCCAAAACACCTCAAACAATTGTGCAGGTGCATTTGTTTCACGTCAGTGTAAGGGATATTGGCGGGGCTGTGCATGAACCGTCTCACACTGGCCGACCAGCAATGGGCAGGGATGGCTGATGGCTGTGCATGAAACTGGGCGATTCCACCACCGAGCATGAACCTAACAGCATCTTCGGGGAAAAAGAGCTCGGAATTGGATTGGGATTTGATTGTGCTTCTTGATTGGTGGGGTGAACGACTGGGTGAACGGTATATATAAATGAAATGATCTAACGGAAATGAAAGGAACACGAAAAATACACTTGAGGAAGATGTGAGATGCAGCTAGAACACAAAAGGAAAATGGACGGGTGCAAATCTGAATGTCACATTTTTGACCCAGTGCGTTGTTCACGTTTATGCTTTGGGCATTTGGGCTGCTCAAGGCACACTTTGCAAGGAAAAGAAAGAGCGCTTGTCATCTAGAAGTGTACCAAAGTTTGTATGGCCTAATTATAAGGTAAGGTCTGACATTCAAGATCCATCTAATTTGGGTGTTGTATCTTCGCATGGTGGCGGAGCCGCTACGGGCGGCCTAGGACCTTGGCAATGATCTTCCACTGGAACACTTGTCTAGGACCTTCTTCACTTTACCCCTTGTGTATACATTTTTTGTGTCACGGCCACTGGAGATGATTCTTGGGACTCAATCCCTGGAGAAACCTATATAATATACTGTAATCGTTGTTTGCTGGCATGTCAGTTGCTGAAGATCAACGCCTTTCTGACAGCCACAGAAGCTTTCAGGCAACTGGGCACGGTCAGAGCTCCTATCAAAAAGGACAAAACGATGGAAGTGACCTAAGTTCTAGACCAAAACAGTTCGAAGTTCGAAAAACAGAGTGGATCCTCCTCCGGTTGACTTACCTTCCTTTTTTGGAGCCAATTAGCCTGAATGATGAACAAAAATGCAGCAGCAGAATCAAATCCTTTTTGAGCCTGGTGCAACAATCAACAATCTCAAGCTTTTTCAAATCCAGTTTCACAAAACAATGCTGGAACAGCATCTACTTTGCCAGGAACAGTCCATCGACGCAGCAAAACCCTGTTCAGCCGCAGTCGATTTCGTCAGACTTCGTTGAACCGTTCACCTAGTGACAAGTTGATGACAACCATTCCTACCATAGATGTTTCGAAGTGGAACACAGGATTTTGTTTTCACAAATAATTACTTGGAAGACGTTGTGAGTTGGCTTAGGCTTATATAGTTTGACCGACCCCAACAACCACGAAGAAGTCAAAGAGGAGTTATCGTCGGCCATTGTTGCAGCAATTCGGGGATGAATCAAGATCAAGTGTTGCGCTCTCAAAGGCGCTTCCATGTGATCATACAATCAGGAACTGCTTCCTGTTGGGAAATTGCAGTGTCCATGACATTCTTTTGCAAGATGCGGACCTTTATATATATCCTTTACCAGCTGTTGGTTCGTTGTTTGACGGGCGATGCAAAGCGCATGTCCAGCTGAACACCCTGAGACTTGAAACGTGCCTGTGGTGCGTTCTATGAGAAAACCGTTCTCAAAAGCCAGCACTTTGATGTTTCCAAACAACCTCTGGCTTTGAATGAGTATCAAGCCGGTTCAAGGAAGGGCGCTCAGCCAGATTCCGATGTAATTTGGATTCGGTGCGGAAAACGGAAAACGGGGACATATCACTAAGGATTGCAGAACCCATCTCCCACATGGTCAGGAAACGGGAAAGGTGAAAGTGTTCCGAAGGAAAATACAAAAACATACGATGGACACTACCGATCTCTGAAGATAGTCGAAGGATGTCGAAGGCGTGATTTTTCATCTGACACCTAAAGGCTCTCTTACCGATTGTAAAGGAAGGGGGGAATGATGGGGAATGGGAAAGACCCAGGAAAAACGCGCAGCTGAGTGTTTTGAACATGAAGTTCAACCTGATGAGACTTGGTCTGAGATTGATCCGATGGAGCTCGTTGAGGAAGAGTCGAAGTCGTGTTTGCGTGTGTGACTGCCCAAGAATCCCCGAAGATCAATGCGTGAGGGTCTGAATCACTGACACTCATCCAGCAGTGCAGCCACTTGAGCTGCATCTTTTGATCCCACAGTGCCATCAGGAAACAATGATCAGTCGAAACTTATCAGTCGCTTGGATAAGAAAGAACCTAATTCTCATTTACGATGGCGGATGTTGGTTGGTGCAAGTCGATCAGTCATCAGCAAACCATTTTAATCTTGCACCGTCCTGCTGGGATGACTCACTGACGTTCAGCAGGTGGCGAAGAAATGGTGATAACTATGGTGGTAACCACTGAGGTGATTGTAGAAGTTCGTTTTTGGGTTCGGAATGGGCCACATGGACGTTCATCGAAACAGCCCTTCGACGAACTCATCGGAAGTTCAGCACAACATTATGTCAATGCCCCAGGCCTGCAAACAGGATCAAACACGGCAATGCGAGATGACCGAAGAAGGTTGTTTTGGGCTCATACGGTGGTTTTCAAGAACTGTGTGACTGTGTCTCTATGATTCTCTATGAGGCTTCAAAAATGCTCGGACCGGTGTTCTTCCCGTCAAAACACACTCGGCAGCAAGCTTGCACCGTGTCTCCATCAAAACCCCGTCATGGGCCCTGCAACCTGCAGGCGTACCCGCTTGGCAGCGTGGAGGCCAACAAGCGGCCAGAACTGTGTCTCTATGTAACTTCAAGACGTCAAAACCCCTCAGCAGCGTGGAGCCCTGCAGGCCGCCAGAACTGTCTCCAGAACTGTTTCTCTCTGGGGCTTCACAGTTGTCGCGTGGCATGGTCAACCCCCCTCAAAACCATGCGCGGCCAGGTTGAATCCCTCAGGCTTCCTCAGCAGCGTGGAGCGCTGCAAGCTGCCAAACTTCAACTGGCACCACGCTCTTCACCGTTAGAAACACCCTCGGCAGCATGGAGCCGCCAAAGCAGGGGGTCGGCGGCATCAGGGCGCCAGCCCATGGGGCAGGGGGCTGGGCCTGGTTAGTCCACCGCACCCCCGCCGCCGTAGGCGGCTGCCTGCAAGGGTACCGCGCTGCGGGGTAGCACAGGGAATCCTGCAGGGCCACTGAGGTCTAGAGGCCAGGGCGAAAACGGAGAGGCTAGAAAACCTCGCTTGGCCCTAGCGTCGACACGCATGTGGCAAAAATATCTAAAATGCGGCACTTTTGGCTTTTGCTTGGTAGACGAAGATGTTCTTTTAGTTTGCTTTTTGTCCGTGACGTGCTCGTAAGGGCTCCCCCTTCCTTGAAGATGGCCTCAAGGCGCGAGATATGCTGCGCATGTTGCCTGGCATTATTGACATGTTCTGCTTCTGGGAACCACCACCACCACCACCACCACCACCACACCCACCACAACGACAACACCAACAACAACCAAAGCAACCTCCTCCACGACCACCGCCACTACAATAGAGATCTCCATTCAGCCAGGTTTGGCAAGAAAATAAACTCATTGTTTTCTGATTGTTTTCTGAATCTTTCTCTGCTGGAATTTCTGATGTTTTTCTGATGTCGAATTTTGATCTGATTTTTTTTTTATGTTTTTTCTCTGAATCTCTTTCTTCCTTTTTGTTTTTCCTTTTTCCTCCTCTTGCTACCAGCTACCAACTGGCTGGACCTTTTTGAGGGGAAACGTGTACTTTTCCTTCTTCAGGAAAAGCATCAGTCCATAGAAGGAAAGCATTTGTTGATTGAAGATGTTTTTTTCATTGTCATTGAGTTTCAGAAAGCAGCTGGCCCGTTGCTTCTGGTCCAGCGGACTTGGGACAGTGTAGTGACGTGTTGAGCTTTCAGCAAGAGCAAACCAGGAAAAACAAAATTATATACTTACCCTGTCAGATTCATCAAATCAACCATATATCTAAAGCAGGTTGGCAAGGGGTTGGTCCATGAATTTTCAATAATTCAGCCTGTGGCAAACACAGGTTTCCTGCCAAGCCATGCCGTGGAAGAATCAGGTAGACAAGATCTGCGCGTCGCAAGACAGCTCTGATAGCCTTGTCGAGATTGCGTGCGCTTTGGTCACCACCTCTGATAGAGATGGAGCAACCTGTTTGGTGGGCACAAGCTATCCGGGAACACACTGTTGCTTTAGGCATTTCTATTCCAAAACGCAAGCGCCCCATCACACTGGTGTCCTCATGTTCAGGGGCATTGTCAGAAGCTGCAGCCTACCAGGCGCATGGCATCTTTTTAGTAGTTAACTAAAGAAAGCACACCCGCAGCAGCACTGATTGACAGCGTTTTCTCCAGCATACGGCATGGCATATGGTGTACCATAGAGAAATGGACAATACAAACATTGTCTCTTTAGTGTCTTTAGTTGTTATAGTTGTTCATCCTTTCTCTCCGCTTGCAATCTGCAGACTGTATACAGACTTTCTTTTGATCTCTCTACTCTACTCTACTCTACTCTGGACTTTGGACTCCTGCTGTTTCTACTGCGTAGTGTTTACTGTGCGACTTTGCAGAGTGCTCTTTGAATTGCCGCGACCAACCAACAAAACCCACTGCACAAAACCCAACCAGAACACGTCATGCGTGCAAGCACGCGCACACAAACACACATACACACACGTACACACCACACGCACAGTAAGACATGCCATATGCCATACACAAGACGCGCAAAAGAAGTTTGGTCTAGGAGCTGCCGCTGGTCATTCCCTGAAGACTAGCATGCACAAACGTGTATGTATGTTGAGCGTTCCACAAAATTGTCGGCGAGTGAACCGTAGGTGTGAGGTAGAGTAGGGCTTCACGCCTGCGGAAGTGAA